CAAGTTTTTCAAATGGTTGGATTGTTTGACTCAATGCAGAGTCAAAGTTAACCAGAACAGCTGAAAATGAACAAATGTTGTATTTGCAATTGAACCAAATCTGCCAGGTATGAAAACACTTGGAACTGATTTTGAATAATAACTGGAACGTCATTAATTTTAGAATAAAACATAATATACTCATGTATTCAAAAGAAAGTCAGAAAAATAAAAAGTAAAAAGATGAGTAAACCTGATGTGCACTTTAAAGGTTTTCGGTATTCCAACTTTTCACTGCTTTTCCTTTATGGGTGTTTTATAAACATACCTTATTTTATTGTAACATGTCTTTCATTGTTTTTATTATGACTAGCCTTAAGTGAAAACATGTCCATCAACTGACTCACTTCATCCCCTGTAACGATCAACCGCCGGCTCGGCTGGGCCCAGGCCGCCATTTTGTTTTCAAACATGCTTCGAGTTAGATCCCGGCAGGGAGAGGAGACGCATACCGGCAAGGAAATACGATGAGAGCAGGGAAAGGGAGACGTTTATGAGGTAAAGGACATCAGAGCGGGCTTGCTTGAGCTCTTGTTAACATCAAAACACAAGCGAGGGGTGTGTATTTGATGTGGCGTCACACGGAGCGGGCCGCATTGAGTTCAAATGGATATTAACGGTGCAGGAGGCGGCCGGTCACCGTGGGGAAGCAGAGTCTGTGACGTTCCCACTGCACTCTGCTGCTTCACAAACAGAAAAAACCCAATAACAGCCACAAATCTTCAGGTTTAATGAAGGTTGAACTGTTTATTTACTCCTTTATTGCTTCTGTGTATTGAATCGGAGGAAAGAGACAGCAATACCATCTGCACCCCCGTTCCTGTTGGCCTGCTGCTGCAGCCTGAGTTTCCCTCCAACCAAATTACTGAAGTCACTGCAGGGCTGCTGTCGGTGAGTTAGGGCCATTTTAAACACATAAATTTACACCAGAAAAACTATGAGATCAATCTAAATCTTTATTAGAAACAAACTGAAAATGTTGGATTCTAAAGTCAGAAATTTGCTCGAAAACAAACCAAGAAATTATGAGATTAAACTTAGAAATTTTCTATGAAAACTTTAAAGTTTAAAATGCCAGAAATGTGCTAGAAAAACCAAAGGAGTGGACAAAATTTTGCAAGAAAAACCTCAGAATGTAGAGCATAAAGTCTGAAAAACGTGAAAATTTCTAGAAATGAAAAGTTAAATTTTCAAAATTTTCTGTTTCAAAACAGGATTTTTTTTTCAAAATTTTAGTTTTCTAGAAAAAATCTATAACTTTTTTCTCAAAAATTTCTGAGTTAAATGCAAAAACATTTCTTGCGTTATTTTTCTCACAAATATTTTACTGTTGAAGTTCAAAACCGTACGGAGTCCGTCTGGTGAGACACGAGAAAAAATAAAATAAAATAATCCCCATAGTTTAACATCTTGTGGGAGAAACATAAAAACAAATTTTGAGATTGATCTCTGAAAGTTTCTAGATAAACTCTGAAACTCAGATGGGAGGTTTTGGGGTGAAATGATGGGATTTGGTTGTTATTTGGTTCTGTGTGAAGGTTTCCGGATAGAACTGGTTGAGCTCGGATGCAGCATTAGATCCTGTTTGATCTGCATTTCAGGTTGTTTCCTTGTAGGAGGTAAAAACCCGGCAGAGCCGTCAAATAGACAAATCTGAGGCCCAGTAAAGTCAAAAATGCAGCTGCAGCCGCCCACTCTGCCCATGTTGCTTCTTATTGTTCAGATTCAGAACAATGGAGCTGGAGGTGGAAACTAACTGCTGCTTAATCTTCATAAAACAGTTTGAAACCCAATAATGCCTTAAAATCTCCAGTCGCCTAAAATTAAACAATCTGTCAAAGTTACTCCAGATTTCAACTTTTATTTCATTAGAAAATCTGCATAGTTTCAAAGTGATCAATTGAATTATTACACATTTAATACAATAATTTTTTTAACATAATTCTAGAAAATGTTTTCAGGTTTAAAAGTTTTTTTTTTCAGTTTAAAAATTGTTTTAAGTTTGTTTTTTGAAGTTCAAACTTATTTTAGTTTTAATTTTATTTGTCATTTAAAAATTATTTTCCAGTTGCAAGTATTTATTTTAGTTTAAATTGTTTTTACAATTATTTTTACAATTTAAATTCTTTTTTTCAAATTCAGATTTGTTTTTCAGTTTCCCTTTTCTCTTGGTGTAAAAACATTTTTTCCAGTTTGAAAAACATTTTTCCAGTTAGTACTGAAAAAATGTTTCAGTACTAACTGGAAACATTTTTTCCAGTTAGTTTCAAATATTGAAACTTTCAAAATTATTTTCAGTTTCAAATCTTTTTTCAGTTTTAGAATGTGTTTTACTTTGAAATCTTTATTTTCAGATTTCAAATTTTCACCAGTTTAGATTATGTATAAACAAATTTTTTTATTCCTGTTATTTTCTGTTTTTCAGATTCACTATTGTTCTTCGAGTTTCCAATCCTTTTTTTTTTATCTCAAAATAATTTTTTCAGTTTCAATTTATATTTTTTTATTTGACCAAAAGTTTTGGCCCTAGTGTAGCTCCATAGAACATCTTAAAACTGAGACATTGTTGCCGTTCAGTGAGATGAAGCGTCTGCATTACATTTGTTTCCACAGAGCGATTCGTTGCCGGGTTGTTTGCTGATATTGCGTTGCTGATGTTGCGTTGCTGATGTTGCGTTGCTGATGTTGCGTTGCTGATGTTGCGTTGCTGATGTTGCGTTGCTGATGTTGCGTTGCTGATGTTGCGTTGCTCCACTGATGTCTCCTGTAAACGTTTCTGTGGTTTTTGAAGCTTAAATTTTCTGACTGACACGTTCAGATCCCGACATATTGGAGGCAGAAATCTGTAATTTGGCCCCGTGACCCCGCCGTGACCCCTCTCCGCTTCATCGTTTTCCCACCGACATAACGCCGCAGCCCCAGTGGCCTTTTTGCTCCGACCCGCCGCCACCTTTTTAATCTAAACTCAGCGTGAGGTCAGAGGTCAGACTCTTTTCATAGATGTGTTCCTACTTGTTCCTTTCAAAATAAATCTCTCCCCCTGCTGCTGTAGGACTAAAGGAGAGGCTTGTTCTCACGTAGAAACCGAGTGTTGGAGCTCAGACTTTGTTTAAACCGCAGGCGCAGCGTGTTTATGGGTCGGTTAAAAGGTTCCTGTCCGACTGACGGGTCTGTCAAATAAACAGCGGGACAAGTGGTGCCGCTTGTTTCTTCTTCCCCATAAAAGTCAAACATGTCCCCATCATATCCCGTGCTACCAGCACGGGTCACTGTTAGCCTAACACGTTTAACCTTTATCTTAATTGTCGTTCCCTGAATGTATTTCCTGGAAGGAAAGGAGCTCAGAGCGACTGTGAAACGTTTTCACCCCTTTGGACGTTTTACTGCGTTTAAAATCAACCAGGAGCTGCAAAATCTGGCTGTTCAGACAAGAAAATAGACAAATAGACCAAATCATTTCAAAATAAAATGTGATTTAAAAAAAAATAATGACAGTAAAATAAAACTAGTTAACATAAAATAAGTGGCTGCGTAAATATTATTGTTAGGAAATCAAAATTAGACAAAATAAAGGGGAAAATTTCCACGCTTGTGTTTCCATTTGGGTCTAAATTGCTTCTAAAATCAACTTCCACTCTTTAAAAAACATGTAAATTATTAAGTGCTTTGGGGAAAAAAATGTTTTTTAATAAATACGTGCAAAATTTTTCTTTTTTAAACGAGAGAATAAAATAATGTGGCAGCTAATTCACTCATTGTGTGCTAATTTTGTGTATCAGAGTTTATGTTATCTAAAAACAAGGAAAAGCTGCCATCAGAAATGTTGGATATCAGCTGTCAGAGGTCTAAGACAGGAAATGAAGCCATCTTCCTCTGAGATGTTTGTTGTAATGCAACTAAAGGTCAACGCTGATCCTTGGAAAGCTCTCTGCTTCGCCTACCGATCCGTAATCAGGCGCTGATTGTGTGATTGCTGGCGTTGATGTTGATGTTGCCGCTGCCACCTTCCTCTCCGCTCTCCTTGCAGAGCGGCTCTATATATAGAGGCAGCCGTCGGAGGTAATGGGATGATGAATGGACGCAGCCAGGCCTAATTTCATGGGGCAGGAAATCACCAGAGGAACAAGAAAAAAAGCTCAACTTTAGAGGCTGTAATTATTGTCCTCGGGACAAATCGGTCCCAAACTCCGCCGCAGGAAATACGACTCTTGATAAAGTAACGTGTTGTACATGCTAAGGCTTGTGGGTATTTATGCGCTTTGACCTGAGGGACGTTTCCCATTCGTATGATTTCATCCCATTCGTCTTCTAAAAGGGCCGCTAACAGCTGTTTGCTTTATTACGGCTGCAGGGATTTATCCCGTAATGTTTTATGTTAATAACAATGTTGAATGATTTACTGCAGCGCAGAGAAAGCTGCTCCACAAATTTATCGACTCGCTTGGTAAAATATTTTCATTTCAGAGTCCGAGTTCAGAATAAGAGCTGGTTGATGGTTTTGGCTCTGCAGGAAAAGTCTGAAGTTTAATGTGTTTTCATACCTGATAGTTTGGCAGATTCGTTCGATTGGGGATCAAAGTTGCAACATTTGTTGCATTTTTAGCTGCTGTGGTTCTTTTTCACGCTGCACTGTATGAATTGAGCCAAACTAAATAAAAAACATGTTCCCCTCCTCACCTGTGGGGGCGCTGCTGAGCCCAGACATTTAGTTTACTAACTACCTAAATATTTAGTTTAGATCTAAATATTCTCATTTTGAATTCAGTGAGCATTGTGAAACGATGTCCTGTTTGAATAATGAATCCCAGTTTTAGAAATAAATAACCCAAATTGTTGCTGATATATTTTGATCCTGCAGCAAAAATAAATGTCTCTTACTGACAGTTGCAGTTGTCTTGGGAGGGAGGAATCATTGGTTATTTTTGTCAATTTTATTCGCATTAACATCTGAATTACTGAACCTGATCCTGCGTGATGCTCCTGCACTGCCTGTTGTCGCCAGCAGAGGGCGTAGTGGTGGCTTTTATCCCAGTTTTCAGCCTCATCTCTTCCTTCCTCCGGTCCAGGAAAGCCCACCTTCTCCCGAACAGGTCTGGGAATGCTGCTGGGCTCCTGGAGTAAATATGAAAATAAAGCTCGACGCAGGAAAGCCCTAATTAGTCCGTCACTCCAAACTAACACTTCAGGCCGCTGCAGATCCCGGCCTGGCCCGCAGCATTTTCTCCCGCTGTCAGAGCTGGTCATGAGTGTCAGATTTAATCTGGTGCAGGGGTCGAGCGGGGCCCGGGGTGCTGGGAGAAACCCATCATTTTCATTTTGTTTGTGTGTGTGTGTGTGTGTGTGATGGATACAAGAGATAGAGGAAAAGATCAGGCCTCTGAGAAGGAAACAGCCTGACAAATTCAATAAAACACATCTGAGCAGCGCCTGCTGAACGTTCTGCTTCGCTTTGCCTCTCAGAATAAATATGAGTCGGTCTGAACGCGGGGCATTACTGTTGGGGGTAATTGTCTCATTTTTTTCTGAACCGGCGGTTTTCCTCCGTTGTTTGGCGGAGTGAATCCAATTACAGGTGTCGCCATCGCTCACGGTGGCGGGCGGAGCAGATGATGCGGCGATCTGGACGATTGATCGGCTGTTTGCGGCAGTGATCGCATTGATTAGCCATGAAATGTGCCAGGCAGCAGCTTACATCGCTCAAATACCAATGAGAGGGGAGGTTCAGCTGGGGAGGGAGGAGGAAGAGGCGAGGGGAGGGAGAGGAGATCAAAGATGGCCGCCTTCCCTGTTTGGGAAGGAAGAGAAGGGAAATATAGGAAAACAAGAAGTAGGGAGATTCATACTGAGTTTAGGAGCATCCATCCATCCATCCATCATCCATCCACCCATCCATCTGTCCGTCCATCCATCCATCCATCCAATCCATCCATCCATCCATCCATCCATCCATCCATCCATCCATCATCCATCATGTTGTGTTTTTGAGAAGTCTTTGACTAGAAATCTTTGGGCCGTTTGTGTCTCAGCTGCAGCAATGTGACTCAGAAGGTGAGTTTCACTCGGCGTGTTTCTCATTTCCTTTATGACCTGCGTACCATCAGTGGGGCTCGTTTTCGTCATAATTACTTATTATTTTACAGGACAGAATGCAGTAATTGGAGCCCAGTTTGAGGTTTTGCTCACATTCCTGCTTCATCCCGTCATGTTCCAGTGTTTTCCTTGCTAACAAGGTTCCAACCCGAGCCTTCACTCTGCACTGCAGGAGTCCGTGTTACCTTATAAAAGGACCTACACATGCAGTTGGACAGTTTTCTGTTTTTGTCCCAGACCGGAACGTATGGGAGAGGATTAGGGCCACTAATCAGGAGGTCATGCTGATTGTTTTTAAACTGAATTTTCAAAATTTAAAATCCAGATATACAAATTCAGAAACAGTGTTTTGAGAATGCTAACATAATTGAGATACATTGAAGATTGAGAAAAAAGTTAAAAATGTTAGATAAATGTTAAAAAAAAAAAGTCTGAATTTTGAGAAAAAAATTTAGAATTTTGAGAAAATTCCAATCTGAGAAAAAATCCTGGATTTTGTGTGTGGGGGGGGGGGGATCAGAAAAGGAATTCGGGAAAAGTCGCAAATCCAAGAAAAAAAAACTCAGAATTTTGTGAAAAAAATAAAACATGAAAAGTTGGAATTCTGAGAAGATTCCAATCTTAGAAAAAAAAGAGTAAAAAAAGGACAAAATCTGAGCAAAAAATTGGAAATAAATCTGAAAAGAAAGTATGAACTCTGAGAAAAAAAGTTGTAAATCTAAGTCAACAGTCAGAATTTCATAACTTTGTGATGTTTTAATCCTAATCTGTGGGTTCATCTTTGAGCTGGATTAGAGGAACCTGAAGCTTCCTGAACCGGTACCGTTCAGTTCGGTTGGGTTCAGTTCGGTCCAGACGGTGTTACTGTGAATCTGTTTCCAGACTCTGAGTGGGATTCATTCCTTCCTCCGGAGCGGCTGGACTTCCCAGGTGTTGCTGTGGAAATACCAGCTGCTTCATTATTCCGGCGCGCCGCTCTCCGCTCGCTCGTCCCGTTTCATAAATAAGTCACGGCGCTTCGCTGCAGACGGGCTTTACGGCCCAACATCGATTAGCAGGTTGAGCAAAGCAGAACGTTACAGGTGCAGCAGATGAAACCTCTGAATGAAAATATGAAAGGAAAATAAATTGAAGCTTTTGCTATTATCCAGAAAGTTTTATTTTAATTAATTTTAAATCCGCAAGGGCTTTTCTGTCCTGCCTGGAAATGAGGTTTTAGGAAATAAAACACGAGACAAAGAACATAAAATGATCTTTGAGAAGCAAATAATTAAAAGTTAATGATGTTTAGATGAGAAAAGGAGTCAGTTTAAAGTTTTTAAAGTGCAAATGAAGATGGGAGGAAAGGTCAGGCCAGGTCAACGGCATCAGACTGGGAATCAGACTGGGAATCAGACTAGGAATCAGACTGGGAATACTGGTTCATCCTGGTCAAGAGTTTACTGGGATATTCCAGATTAACTGTCGAGATTCAAAGTGAGGAAAGATGACAAAACAAAACCTGAAAATTAAAACATGAAGGTCAATGGAGAGAATATGGATGGATGGATGGATGGATGGATGGATGGATGGATGGATGGATGGATGGATGGATGGATGGGGGGTGGGTGGGTGGGTGGGTGGGTGGATGGATGGATGGATGGATGGATGGATGGGTGGGTGGGTGGGTGGGTGGATGGATGGATGGATGGATGGATGGATGGGTGGGTGGGTGGATGGATGGATGGATGGATGGATGGATGGATGGATGGGTGGGTGGGTGGGTGGATGGATGGATGGATGGATGGATGGATGGATGGATCAAATCCTGTAAAATTAAAATCTGTGATTTTTTGGGGGTATTTTTCATGAAAACCACATTTTGACATAAATCTAAGATTTTTTTGGATTTTGACTAAAAATTAGAATTTTGAGAAAAAATAGATGATTTTTTATTGGGCCCTAATGTTCCTCCGTAGCTCTGCTCCAGCGCTCGGCTAATGACTAATGACGGCTCATTTTTAGAGACTCAACCAGCCGAGATTCATGAACAAAGAGATTTGTTTTGACTCCGTCTGTGACAAACATTTCTCTCTGATAAAGTCTTTCTGCAAATTAAATTATTCTCCTTCCAGAAGCCAAACTGATGACATTTTCAAAGACATTTTACATGCAAATTACAGCAGATATCTACAACAAACACCAACGCTGTAAATCCATCAAGCTTCATCACAAAGAGAAATGGAAAAGTGATTTGAAGTAATGGATGTTGGCATGTTTTGTCTGTTTGCAGCGTGATGGCCGAGCGGCGATGAGCCAGAATCAGAGCTCGTTATGTTTGATCATCATCCGCCATCTTGTTCTGTTTTATGCTACTGATGATCAGCAGCTTCTCTGGGAACTTCATGAGTTTACCAGGAACATGTTATGATAATGAAATATGGCCATTGTAGACAGAAAAAATGTTTTATTTAACCAAACCCTGAAATATTTTAGTTTGAAATTTTGAAAATTAGCAAGAAAAAGTCAGACATATTGAGATTAATCTAAGGAATCTTCTAGAAAAACAACTTGGAAACGTCTGAGTATAAAAAGTCAAAAATTTGCTAGGAAAAAAATCTAATTCAAGAAATTTTCTAGAATTTATTCATTTGGAAAAATTTCTGTTTCAAATTTAGAAATCTCCTAGAAAAAAAATTCAACATTTTGAGATCAATCCAGAAATTATTGAGAAAAACTGGAAATTTCTCATCTGGAAAGTCAGATTTTTGGAGATTAACATTCAAAAATTTTGAGAAAACAGGAATTTCTGAGTTTGAGGAATCAAAAATTTGCTTGAAAAAGCTGAGAATTTGAACTTAATTTTCAGTTACAAAATAAAAAAAAATCTTGACTTCTGCAACTCAGAGATTTGCAAATTTTTGACTTGTCAAACTCAAATTTCTGCGGAAGATGATTAGGACCACCGGAATTTTTCTTTTTTTTTTTTTTTACTTTTTCCTCAAAATTCTGTTGAAAAACTAATATCAGAATTTCCTCATTTCAGTTAGAAATTTCCACATCATCTAAAAATTTTAGAATTTTTTGACTTTCCAGTTTTTTTTCTGTTTGTGTGGATTATTGTTTTGTTTTAATTCATTGACCAGATTTTTGGCAGATATTTGCTCCTCCTTCTCTCCGCTCTGGCCTGGTGCTCCGCTCCGCCGTATGGAAATCGTACTGCAGGCCTCTGCCTTCGCTCTGTGATGTAATTAGTAGCTTCTGCTGTCAGGATTGAGGCTCCTGTTTATCTTTGTCACAGATCGTCCATTAAACTGTCATTACTTGACTACATTCTGCAGGACTTCGGCCCGTTTCTGCAGAGTTACGGCCAAATATTGGCCTCATCCTGTAAGTGATGGCTCCGGTTTAGCTCAGTCGATCCGTTTGGAGCTTTTTCTGAGGTCAATGCAAACTACAGAAACAGGATGACACCGAGGGTCCATCCACATGAAGGCAAGACGAAGTAGGACATAAATCCTCGCTGCTCATCTGCTCTGAATCCCGGAGCTTTTAGGATCTAATAAGAGCAAATCTATGAGGCCGCCGTCCTGGGATCGTTTTATGTTTGGCTCTTTTCATTATTCATCATTCGTCATCTGAGGCTCAGCCTGCAGCCGGACTGTAAATCTATAGACGACCGCGCAGGTTATCTGAGCCTAATGCTAACTTTGGCACGGCGTCAAGATCGGCATGTCGATGCGAGCATGCTGAGGTTTATGGGAGGCCTGTTTGTAGTTACACTGTCAAAAATCAACAGCAGCCTGTCTCTACAAAAATGGGGGTTCATTTCATTGAATTCATTTTGTAAACGTCACAGCTGCTGGTAAACAAAATGTTCAGTTAAAGCTAAATAATTTCCTTAATATTTAATTTGAAGCAAAAATTGTTTTAATCTAAGTATTTATTTTGGGGTTAAATATTCCACTTGCTTCACTTTAGTCAGTTAGTTAGTTTGTAACTCAATATTTTGATGCAAAATATTTAACTTTCTAAATAAATATTTTACTTACTAAGCAAATGTTTAGTTTGGACTTAAATATTCACTTTCTTAAGTTAATTGCAAAGGTATTTTGCTAACTAAATATTTAGTCTGAAGCTAACTTGTTAACTAAATATTTAGTCTGAAGCTAGCTTGCTAACTAAATATTTAGTCTGAAGCTAGCTTGCTAACTAAATATTTAGTCTGAAACTAGCTTGCTAACTAAATATTTAGTCTGAAGCTAGCTTGTTAACTAAATATTTAGTCTGAAGCTAGCTTGCTAACTAAATATTTAGTCTGAAGCTAGCTTGTTAACTAAATATTTAGTCTGAAGCTAGCTTGCTAACTAAATATTTAGTCTGAAGCTAGCTTGTTAACTAAATATTTAGTCTGAAGCTAGCTTGCTAACCAATTTTGGATGTAGCTAGCTAGCTGACTTTTTAGTTTGCAGCTAAATATTTTACTTGCTAACTAAATATTTAGTTTGACTCTTCCTTGCTAGATAAATATTTTATCTGGCTAACTATTTTGTTTGAAGCTAGATTGCTAACTAAATATTTTGCATGTTTCATTTGAAGCTTGCTAGCTAAAAGTGCATGGTTAGCAGGTCAACTGGTTTGAAAAGTAGCTTGAAACTAAGTGTGAATTTGGAGCCAAGTATTTTGCTTGCAAACTTAATCTTTCACGATTTTGTGTTTCTTTCCCAGCCCAGAACTGACGAAAGCTGGTTCTGATTCTTTTGGGAGTTTTTCCCTGAAGAAAAGGAGTTGCTCCTTCTTATTGTCAGCCAACGGCTCAGTTAAATCAGCGATTTGACTTCGTCTGGTTTCCATAGATAACTGGCTGACTGTTAGTTCTGTCTCACCCCAGAACCTGCTGGTGTTTCTCGTAAATACCTGGAAACTCCACAGATGTGCTGGGAGCCAAACGTCTTCCTGTTTCAGGGTTTTACAATCCGTTTTATTGCCTCACTCCGCTGCAGCTCGGGTTGTTCTGGAACAGGTTCTGCTCCCTGAACAGATGCTAACATGCTGCAGCATCACTGCTGGTTTACCAAACGGTAAAATGCAAAACCAGAATGTTAAACATAACATTCAAGAGGGAATTAATTTAGCGCTAATGTTTTTGCTTAGCATTTTAGCTGACTTTGAAAACATTAGCATAAGCTGCAGCATCTGTGTTGAAGTTCTGGTTTATAAACTGTTAAAAATGAGAAGTGAGATGTTTAAATTTATGCTCTTATTTTGAAGTCTGCTTATACAACAGCTTTGTTTCCTCATTTTCTCTCTTTTTTTCACCACAATAACTTTATTTAAAACAATAAACATACATATGGAGGGCTGAAAATGACATAATTAATCAATAAAACACAGACAGTACAAAACAAAAATACAATTTCTAAGGACAATATGGAACATATAAAATTAAATTGGTGTTTGAGGGTTGTAGTCTTTGAAGGGGAGATATAACTTGAATTCAAGTTAGCATTAGCTTCAGCTAAATACTGTATTAGCATTAACAGAAGAAACGTTTATGATCAGTGCTTTAGGATTAGCGTAGTTAGCTTTGTAGCTATCAGGGAATTTCTGAGTATCTACAATGTATGGTAAAAACGTAGGACTCTTTAAATATTTTATAAAAATTTCCAAAAACAAATAGTAAATTTGAGTTTCAAAAAACAAACATTTTTGAGAAAAAGTCAGAAATTTTCTAGAAAAAAACCTGCGAATTTTAAAAGTAGAACATTTGTAAAGAAAAAATGTCAGAAAACTGAAATTTTTCCATCTCAAAAGTCAAAATTTGATAGACAAATCTTTGAAACTCAGAAAAATTCTGTAAATCAAAAATGTTTTATTGGATGAACTGAGAAAATTTCCATATTTTTTGTAGAAAATTAATCTTAAAATTTCTGACTAGCACACCTTAATGCGAGTAAGCTCTGATGGAGGGACGAACGTCCTGAAACGATGAACTTGCGTTAGCAACAGCAAGCATCAAAAATCCAAGAAACAGCCGCTAAAAAGTTTCAGCTGCAGAGAAGAAAAGTTCAGGACGTCCAAGAGTCTCCTTGTCTATAAAAATGATCAATTTGGCTAAAATTACATGTACATTTTGTTCTTTTATGCTTATTTTATCTCATCTGAAGTTCATATATTTTACTTGATATCAGTTGACGCCTTAAAATCGGAGCCAAATTCCTCTTTTATGCATCAGAATGTTGGCCAATAGAGCTGCTTGTTCTTCTTTTGTCTGATGAATCCTCCCTTTGATTGATTGAGACGTGGAAAACCCCTAAAAGGAAATGAGTGTGTAGATATCAGAACCAGAAGTTTGACCAGACAGAAGAAAATCTTGAAAATATTTACTCTGTGGATAAATCTGCTGGAAACTGATATCCTACATCTTTAACCGGTGCGACAGAATGACGTCAGATGCACAATTAGTATTCATCAGCATGAATTTTCTTGTTTTTTGGCATGAATTGTCCCATACACCTGTCTGCAGGTGATCATTCCATATTTTTCTGCAGTCTAAAGAGGATTATCTGTTGCATAAAAGCAGTGAGGTTCATCCAGACTCCTTTCTGCTCATAATCAATCAATTCGGTTTTATTTGATTTTGCTTCTGGGTCAGAAATTTGATTTTAGCTTAAAGTTTTGAAAAAAGACGTCGATATTTTGACTTTCCACACATTTCAAAGGGGTCAAACAGAGGTTTCATAGAGATGGAGGGATGCATTAATGGTCCAACAAACAGCCATCAGAGGTCGCCTTAATACACTCCAAAAACGATTTTGTTGGTTCAACTTAAAAAAATTTGAGGCTGCAATTTCCACTCAGTTTTTTTAAGTCACCAACATTTCCTAATATTAAAGACAACCTAATATTCTTTGAGCAAATTAGGATAGGTTTATAGACTAAACAACTTATGTTTGTGACATTTTTAGCACAAAATCATTCTTAAATAATGAGATTTTATTCATTTGTGTTCAGACTGAGATGTTTTAGGGTGTCTTGTCGTTTTAAATCCAAACCCAGCTCATTGTTTACACTTGCACATGAAAATGGATGCAACAGATACGCAATTAGACAACAGTACATCTTTGAAAAGCAGAAGTGGAGCCTCCTGCACAGGCAACAAAAATACAGCAATAAAAATTTGGCATCAAAAAGTCAAAATAATTTAGATTTTTAAAAATTTTTTTGCAAATTTTTGACATTTTATAGTTTTATAGTTTTTTTCTGAAAAATTTCTGAGATGAACTGAAAGATTTTTGGTGTAAATTTGCTCTGCAATCGTCCTACTGTTGTAATTGGTGCTGTTACTTTGGCTCTAACAAAAAGTGTAGACATGCTTCTCATTTTTTAGAAAAGCTAATTTTTTAGAAGAAAAACTAAATTTAAATCAGAAATCAAATGTGACATTTTTTTCTTTCCCAGCGCTAGCGGAGGTCATTTTATGGCCTGGAAGGGAAATCAAACCTCCTGTCTGACTGTAAAAAGACCTGCAGGAAGATTCTGCTGCTGCACCTGTGTAAATATCAGCTTCACAAGAGCAACAAGAAGGAAACCTTTGTTTTTGACCTCGCCGCAGCTTTCAGCAGCAGAATGGACAGACTGGCTGTTTGCTTTGCACATGAGAATATCCACAAAGTCCTGCAGACTCTCAGCTTGTGTTCGGACATTTTCCACGTCCTCAGCTCGCGCCGCCCTTTCTGTCTGACATTCCTCGTCTTCATTAGCGTCGGTGTTTTTATTACCGGGCTAATTAGCATAGCTTTACAGTGACACCTGGCTCTGTTTCCCAAGCTGTGTTACATACAGTACCAGGCGGTCTGGTTGCTGTCAGATGTCCTCATGGTGTGATAGATGAGAAACAGAGGTCCATTTGTCAGCTGGTACCATTAAGCAGCCACCGTTCCCAGTGTCCCAGGCTGCTCAATGCCACAAAGTCATGTGAAAAAATCCCCTCAAATATTCAGTGTCTTTATTAATAAATGCTCACATATTACTTATCTTACTTATGGGTGAAAAAGAATGTGACCTAAAAGAATAAAAAACTAACATTTTTAGCCATTAAATACAAAAAAATCAACAGAAAAAAGTACTTTAAAGGAAACCTAAAGTGAAAATGCGGCGCTAGCTAGCAACCCCAGTGGAGTTCTGCCTGTTATCTAGCAACCAAACCTTGTTCACTGGTTTTCTCTCAGTAAGCTGTACAATGGCTGCTGGAACAGACAATTATTTTGTTGTTGACCATCTGAACCCAGAGCATCTGCAGGTTTTTAAGAACAGTTTAAATTTCAGACAATAAATATACATGTATGTATAGACATTGGGAATAACTGGTGGATCCTGTTGTATCAAGCATAGCAAAAACTTATGGGGCCATTTTGTTGCTATTAGTTGTAGCTTTGTGCATTTTACGCTGTAAATATCTAGCTTTTGCTTTCATTCATAATGGATGCCAAAAAGCTAGCCAGCTAACAAGGCTACATTAGCAGCTAGTTAGCAGTAGCTTCAACCACTGACTCAAACTTTTGCCTGACAGAAAAATCCTGAGGAAAAAACCTACATAGAATATTTGAGACTAAATAGTGATGCAACGACATCAGATTTGTGATTAACATATTTCAGGCCAAGTTACAGATTTTTTCAGCAATTTAAGACTTTTTAAGGCCTTAATCTTATTTTTTTTTCATTCTCGAATGAACTGGACTGAACCGGTGGGAATGCAGCAGCACAAACGATCATGGCTGCTGATAAAAGCCAAAGTTTCAGGGCGATTAGCTCAGCATGGCTGTGCGACTCTCTGGTTTCCTTACATGGTGTTTAATTGTCACGTGAACTTCTGACCTTTGGAATGGAAATATTAAAGTGCAAGGCTTTAAATGGCATTAAAATAATTTCTGTTCTGTCTGGAGGTTAAATCTGATGGGCCGTCGGGTTTGCAGATGTTTCCAATGACTTTATCCTCAGACATCTGGAATTAGCTGGAAATGCTAACGTGTATCGTCACTGTTGACTCATTTGACTGTCTGGGGATGCGGACACTTCAAAAATCTAATGAAAGTAGATTTAATAACCAAATAAAGCCTTTTATTCCTCTACTTAATCTTCAGATGAGTTGGAGTCTGCGGCGGTGGCGTAAAGTTTCCGGCTGCTGGTTCCTGCAGAGCCGCTCCTGGCTAATAATTCAAGCTCACCGTGGAGTGAAAGGGAATATTTGCTTTGGCTTTCAATGTGTGGAGAGAAAAGCAGCAAAGAATGTCAAAGCCTGCAGTAACACATGGACACATTACACTTGATGAGAGGACGGAGGTGAACTGGAAGGAACAGAGAGAAACCATGTGCCTCTGCGTGGTTAGCATGTAGCTAAGGTCAGGGTTCAACCTCATCGTCGCGCTTCCCTCTGCTGAGCAGACAGCTGTGTTATTCAAGATACTAATGTCCAGATGTAAGGAAAGGAAGGAAAAACTTCACAGCAGACTGCACCTTGCTTAGCATTTAGCATGTTAGCATTTTGCTAGCTTAATTTTTCCAGCTAAGTTGTAAAATGGTAATTTTCTTGGCTGTTTTGTTACCTTTCAGTTGAATAAAGTTCAACATCAGTGTTGTAGTTTTAGGAATACTTTAGGTACTTAGCTCTTTATGTTAATGCTCTTTTATTTTGAAAGGGGTGAAGACAAGTTTCCTCTCACTGTCTTGACATCACTTTGAACTTTAAACTTTTGATTTGATAGATGAATCCAAACCAGTCTGTTGCCAAAACGTTTATAGAGAGAATCTATAAAACCGAACAAGCTAGAAGTAAACAATGTTCCTTTTTATAAACACTCATATTTGATTTAAAGACTGAATATTAAGAGCTTCCAGTGAAGAGAAAAAGTCTCTTCATCTGACCAAGGAATAAAAGCCAAAGATGTCGCTGGTTGTGTGTCGAGCTGAAGACATAATGAGATTTTTCGGAGTCAGCCGCTGAGCGTTTCCTCCTCCAAACGTCCGGGGCCAGCCACAGGTCAAGCCTCTGTTTGTGAT